TGTGTGTGTGTGTGAGAGTGTGCGTGTGTGTGTGAGAGTGTGAGTGTGTGAGTGTGCGTGTGTGAGAGTGTGTGTGTGTGTGCGTGCGTGTGTGTGAGAGTGTGTGTGTGTGTGTGAGAGAGTGTGCGAGTGTGTGTGTGTGTTTGTGTGCGTGTGCATGTGTGTGTGTGTGAGAGTGTCCGTGTGTGTGTGTGTGTGTACAAATGTTTTTATGTGTATTTTTTTTCCTCTTGACTTATTTCTGTTCAAATCTTATTGCTCCTAAAATTAGGCTTCATATTCTTCGTTCAGAATGTTTTATCATGATTTTTGAAGTCAAATACATCCTGCGCATGTTTTCTTGTGGTTTACCTGGTTTGTGTGATTCAGACCTTGTTTTCCTCTGGTTTTCTCAGATCACGTGTCTATCGGAGGTCTTGGGGACAGTTTCTACGAGTACCTGATCAAATCCTACCTGATGTCAGACAAGACGGATCAGGAGGCCCAGAAGATGTACTACAGCGCCATGGAGGTACACAAACAGCATTCATACAACTCACTTTCCTCGCTATTTAGTTGCACATGCTATTTCTAGTCTTCGGTATGTTCAGTAAAAATAAAGAAGTAGAAATGAGCGACTGCACAGGCGGTAAGTGTGTAAAATAGATTGCATGCTTTAATTTAAGCTTGATTAGATTAGTTTAAGATTAGTTTCACCTCAAGCCTCGCGCTCATAATGATCCGAGAGGAGAAATATAACAGAGCGAACACATTCTCCCTTATTCTCACTTAATTAGCATATTAGCTTTTTCATTACCTATTGTTTCCCTTGAAGAATGAGGTCTGCCAAGATATTCATTACAATTATAATCAGGAGAGGCCAATTTCTTCCGCCTGACGTTAAACTATCAAACATGTTATCAAATATCCAGTCCTTTGTGCAATGCTTTTAATTAGTTTGAGAGGTTTTATTGGTGGAAAAGTTGATGTGAAATGTTTGCAACCGATATAATATTTGATGTTTGTCTCGATAGTCATGCATTTGCTCTGATTTTGATTTCATGTCGACTTGAAGTGGGTTGTTTACATTTGATGATGCAAAAATGCAGAAACCTGTGATGCACGTAATGAAAAACCCTCTGAACGAGTTTTGTGTGGATAAGCAGAACAAAACCAAACGATGAGTCATTCGCTATTGATCGTCCGTGATGGTCTGCGCTGTTTTCTGCTTCTCTAAAGAGGTGCAAGCATAAAAATGCAGAGGAAGAGACTCGGAGATGTTTTCTCATATAGTCTTTGGCAGATTTATACACCGTCGAGTCTCAAAGTCCCGATAGAATCTCAATGAGGCTTGACTTCAATTCTCCACGCTGCATACGGTCTTATACTATGCATAAAACATTTCATGCATAAACGTCACCTCCTACAGCAATATGTGCACACCGTCCTGCTTTCATATGTGCTTTATTGAAATCCAGCGTCGCCTTCATTTCAAAGCACTTTACAAAGCGAGCGGATGTTTCTTCACTCTCACACAAAACATGTCCAGCCTTCTGTGTTTCATAGGAACCGCATGCGGCTGCGATTAATAGCTGCATTATCTTCAGCGTGTGCACATTGTTCTGAGCATCTCAGGCTCCATCACTCAAATATGCTTTCAGAAAGAGCTGGAAGCTGAAATTCACCGCTACACTGTTAAAGATTATTTTTATGACGTTGAAAATAAAACAAAAGGTATGCTTTACAAAAAATAAATAAATAAATAAAATACTGTCAGTCTTTGTACTTCAAAATTTCTGTTTTAGAAAACCTATTAAAAAGTATTAATTAATTGATGTAAAGTTGAAATAAAATAGAAATATTACATGAAAAACTTAAACTAAAAAAAAAAAAATGAACATTACAATTGTAAAGTTAAAGCTAAAAAGCTAAAAATAAAGCTATAGAGAAGTATACAATTACTAGAAATTAAACTAAATTGAAAAAATAAAAATAAAACCTTATTTAAAATTGTAATAAACAGTTTATAAATCATGTTAAATGGAGGGTGTTGCAGTTTAGTTAGTAAGTGAATTGACTATTACAAAAAAGATAACTTTGTCTTAAGTTGTAAATAAATTTAAAAAAATGTTTAAAAGAAAATACTATTATGAATAGTATTTATAATAGTATTTAATAAAAGAAAATACTATTTATGCATTTCTTCTTTAAAAGTTGTATTTATTTTTTTTAAATAATTTTTGTTAATTGAAGCTAGAATAAGAAAAAATTAAGACGAAAAACTTAAATTAGAAATGTTGCCTGGGCAACTAACTAAAATAAGTTGAAGTACTAAAATGACTAAAGCTGAAATAAATTTGAGCTATATAGAAATATGAAAAATTTATAAAATGGCAAAACCTTAAACTAAAGCCTAAACTAAACTGAAAATATAATAATAAAAGCTTGCCGTTTAGTTAGTGATTTGACTTTGAAAAAATATATAATTTTTGAAGTTGTAAGTAAAACAAAAAGTAAGTTTTTTGCAAATTTGCATCTTATTAAAACTTTAAAATGATTTTCGTTAATTGAAGCTGGAATAAAAAACATGTATTAAACTAAAAACTGAAAAAAAACAATGAAAATTAGAACTAAAATAAGTTGAAGTACTCAAATTAAAACAGAAATAAAAATAAATGAAAGCTATATAGATATGAAAACTAGTAAAAATTGCATTTTTTTAAACTAAAATAGTAACACTAAGCTGAAAATATAATAATAAAAGCTCATTTAAAATATGAATAACTACTATAGCAGTATATAAATAATGTTTATTGGAGGGTGTTGCTGTTTAGTTAGTAAGTGATTTGACTCTTAAATAGTATGTTTTAAGACATAAGGTGCGTCCCAATCGCGTACTTATGCACTATTCTATGATGTTTTTTAGTGTAAATAGTGCGAGTAGTGCGTTCACACTGAAAATTCCAAAAATAAAAAGTGCACTTTAAATACCCGGATGACTCATTAAATAACTGAAAAAACGAAGTGTGGAATGTTTGACACTTCATACTCTCAACTGTCGCAGCTTTAATTACGTAGCGAAGGGGGAGGGGCTATCAGACTCCGATTATGAATGACAGAATAACCTTATATAATTCATGCACTACATGGTTGAGTACATAGTGCATAAGTACAAAGTGTATGAGTGCATAGTGTATAATGTGTCATTTGGGATGCAGCTATAGTCTTTAATTCAGAATTTCATGTTTAATTCAGTGTGTTACTTGCAGTAATTTACTAGCAATTTCAAAGCAAATCCTAAAGCAGGTTTTTGCAATCAGTCTGTCCCAGCTGTGTTGTATTTAGCAGACTGATCTCGCTGTGTGTTTGCAGGCCATCGAGACGAACCTGGTGCAGAAGTCTCCAGGTGGCCTGACGTACGTGGCCGAGTGGCGAGGAGGAATCCTGGACCATAAGATGGGGCATCTGGCCTGTTTCTCCGGCGGGATGATTGGCATCGGCGCTGACGACGGGCCGGCGGGACAGAAGCAGCATTACCTGGACCTGGCCGCGGAAATCACTCACACCTGCCACGAGTCCTACAGCCGCTCAGGTCAGCATCACTCCATCTCTGTGCTCTGAGCACCTGAGTCAGCTCTTTAAAATGCGTTCAACTACATACTAATGTTATTTTAGCATCATTAATACCATTACAGTATTTATTAATCAGTTGAATTTAGCCTTATATTTTAATTTTAGTTTAAATTTGAGTAATTTTGTTGTTTTTGTGTCATTTTTATATTTTTTGTTTCATTTTACCCCCCAATTTTAGTATTTTAGTACTAGTATTTTAGTAATTTAATTTTAGTACTTAAATAATTTGAATAATTTGTATTTTGTTTTTATATTTTCTGTTTTTGTTCTAATTTTAGTTTTAAGTAATTTCGTTGTTGTTGTTGTTGTTTTAATTAATATTTCTATTTACTTTTTATTTACTTTAAATTTTTTGTGATTTTAGTACTTAAAGGGATAGTTCACCCAAAAATGAAAATTCTGTCATTAATTACATGTCGTTCCAAACCCGTAAGACCTCCGTTCATCTTCGGGGAAAAAAAAAAAGATATTTTTAATGAAATCCGAGAGCTCTCTGACCCTCCATAGACAGCAAGGTTACTACCACGATCAAGGCTCAGAAACATAGCAAGGACATCGGTAAAATAATCCATGTGACATCAGTGGTTTAACCGTAACTTTACGAAGCTACGAGAATACTTTTTGTGTGCAAAGAAAACAGAAATAACGACTTTATTCAACAATTCATCCCCTCCGCGTCACCCTATAGTGCCATTTTGGAGAGTATCACATACGTAAACAACGTATTTTACATTCAGATCAAAGCGCAAACAACGTAAACACTGTATCCGCGTGCCCTTGCTATGTTTCTGAGCCTTGATCGTGTAAGGATCCTTGCTGTTTATGGGAGGGTCAGAGAACTCTCGGAATGCATCAAAAATATCTTAATTTGTGTTCTGACGATGAACGAAGGTCTTACAGGTTTGGAACGACTTGGTCATTAATGACAGAATTTTCATTTTTGGGTGAACTATCCCTTTAATTTAAACGAAAAGTGTAATTGTTGAATTGGCAACTAACGAGGGCTGCCCTCGACTAAAGATTTTTCTGGTCGACTTGTAGTCGTTCATTTGAAGCATTAGTCGCAGGGGCGTGTCTGCGTGGTGGCCAGGGGTGGCACCGGCCCCCCCTGAAATTTGGCTGGCCACCCCAGGTGCCCCCCCTACCAGATGTCTTGCGATAGGCTTGTTTTTAGTACATTTCTAACTGCATCTGGCAGTGGCGGATCCTGGCATGTGTAGGCAGCTGCCTAGGGCCCCTTTCTTCTCTTCTTTATACTTAATTTTAGGCGGTTTCTATAGTGTGATCTTAATGACAATCTGTGTCTCATTTAGAAGGCTGCGCCCTCCGGAGGTCGCATCCTCTGTAGGATGCA